AGGCTGAACAGCCCCAACTTTCCCAGCCTGTCTTCATACGGGAGGTGCTCCAGTCCCCTGATCATCCTCGTGGCCTCCTCTAGACTTGTTCCAACAGTTCCATGTCCTTTTTATGTTGAGGACACCAGAAATGCACACAATGCTCCAAGTGAGGTCTCACAAGAGCAGAGCAGAGGGGCAGGATCACCTCCTTCGACCTGCTGGTCACGCTCCTTTTGATGCAGCCCAGGATACGGTTGGCTTTCTGAGCTGCAAGCGCACACTGAAGCCAGCTCATGTTAAGTTCCTCATCGACAAACACCCCCAAGTCCTTCTCCTTGGGCTGCTCTGAATCTCTTCTCTGCCCAACCTGTAGCTGTGCCTGGGATTGCTCCGACCCAGGTGTAGGACCTTGCACTTGGCATGGTAAAACTCCATGAGGTTGGCATCAGCCCACCTCACAAGCGTGTCAAGGTCCCTCTGGATGGCATTCCTTCCCTCCAGGGTATCAACGGAACCACACAGCTTGGTGTCATCGGCAAACTTGCTGAGGGCGCACTCAATCCCACTGTCCATGTCAGCGACAAAGATGTTGAACAAGCGTGGTCCCAACCCCGATCCCTGAGGGACACCACTTGTTACTGGTCTCCAGCTGGACATTAAGCCATTGACCGCAACTCTTTGTGTGCGGCCATCCATCCAGTTCTTTATCCACCCAGTGGTCCATCCATCAAATTGATGTCTCTCCAATTTAGAGACAAGGATGTCGTGTGGGACAGTGTCAAATGCTTTGCACAAGTCCAGGTAGATAACGTCAGGTGCTCTGCCCCTGTCCATCAGTTCCTTAGCCCCATCATAGAAGGCCACCAAATTGGTCAGGCAGGATTTCCCTTTAGTGAAGCCATGCTGGCTGTCACCAAGCACCTTGTTGATTTTCATGTGCCTTAGCATGCCTTCCAGGAGAATCTGCTCCAAGATTTTGCCAAGAGGCAAGACTGACTGCTCTGTAATTCCCTGGGTTTCTCCTTTTCGAAAATGGGGGTTATATTTCCCTGTTTCTAGTTGTCCTGAACTTCACCCAACTGCCATGATTTTTCAAATATGATCGACAGTGGCTTAGCAACTTCATTCGCCAGCTAATAAAGTTGTTAATGAAAACTGAGTGTGGGCACAGTGGTGCTTACCTGAAGATAGGGCAGCACAGGGAGACTACGTAGCTCCTGGGGGAACAGCTAGAAGTGGTTGGCGAATAGATGGAGGATCTTAGCATTTACTGGCAGCTGCCATGTTTGTGGGTTTGAGGAATTTTATTTAGAGCAACAAAGTACCTGATGTTTAATGAACCCTCTCCTCATGGAGACATGATGAAGGGGTCTTGCTCGTGTTTGACTTTTTATGAGCCAGTTCAGTCAGTGTAAAATGTCAGTTGGTGTCTGTGGAGAAAAGTCACAACCAAAGGAAGAAACCAAGGTTTCTGCTTTGAGCCCCCCATAAATGGCTCTGTGATTAACTACTTCAGTCTGTTGCTCAGCAGTTTATGGAATGACATTGGGTACCCAGGATTTAGAGAAGGCTGGGGTTCTTGATAACTTCTTTGCCTTGGTCTTCACTGGCAGTGGCTCTGACTGCATTTCCCATGTCATGGAAGGCAGACGCAGGAACTGTGAGAATGAAGACCTTAGGCCCACTGTAGGAGAGGGTGTGATTTGAGACCATCTTAAGAATCTGAACGTGCACAAGTCCTTGGGACCTGATGAAATCCATCTTTGGGGCCTGAAGGAGCTCACAAATGAAGTTGCTAAGCCACTGTCCATCATATTTGAGAAATCATGGCAGTCAGGTGAAGTTCGGGACGACTGGAAAAAGGGAAATATAACCCCCATTTTCAAGAAGGGGAAAATGGATGACCCAGGGAATTACAGAGCAGTCAGTCTCACCTCTGTGCCTGGCAAAATCTTGGAGCAGATTCTCCTGGAAGGCATGCTAAGGCACATGAAAAACAAGGTGCTTGGTGACAGCCAGCATGGCTTCACTAAGGGGAAATCCTGCCTGACCAATTTGATGGCCTCCTGTGATGGGGCTAAGGAACTGATGGACAGGGGCAGAGCACCTGACGTTATCTGCCTGGACTTGTGCAAAGTGTTCGACACTGTCCCACAGAACATCCTTGTCTCTAAATTGGAGAGACATCAATTTGATGGATGGACCACTGGGTGGATAAAGAACTGGCTGGATGGCCGCACACAAAGAGTTGTGGTCAATGGCTCCATGTCCAGCTGGAGACCAGTAACAAGTGGTGTCCCTCAGGGATCGGGGTTGGGACCGGGCTTATTTAACATCTTTATCGCTGACATGGACAGTGGGATTGAGTGCACCCTCAGCAGGTTTGCCGGTGACACCGAGCTGTGTGGTTCGGTTGATACCCTGGAGGGAAAGAATGCCATCCAGAGGGACCTCGACACGCCTGTGAGGTGGGCTGATGCCAACTTCATGGAGTTTTACCATGCCAAGTGCAAGGTCCTACACCTGGGTCGGAGCAATCCCAGGCACAGCTACAGGTTGGGCAGAGAAGAGATTCAGAGCAGCCCAAGGAGAAGGACTTGGGGGTGTTGGTTGATGAGGAACTTAACATGATCCGGCTTCCATGTACGCTGGCAGCCCCGAAAGCCAACAGTACCCTGGGCTGCATCAAAAGGAGCGTGACCAGCAGGTTGAAGGAGGTGATCCTCCCCCTCTACTCTGCTCTCCTGAAACCTCACCTGGAGCATTGTGTGCATTTCTGGTGTCCTCAACATAAAAAGGACATGGAACTGTTGGAACAAGTCCAGAGGAGGTCACGAGGATGATCAGGGACTGGAGCACCTCCTATATGAAGACAGGCTGGGAAAGTTGGGGCTGTTCAGCCTGGAGATGTGAAGGCTGCGTGGAGACCTCATAGCAGCCTTCCAGTATCTGAAAGGGGCCTGTAGGGATGCTGGGGATGAACTCTTCATTAGGGACTGTAGTGACAGGAGAAGGGCTAATGGGTTCAAACTTAAACAGGGGAAGTTTAGATTCGATATAAGGAAGAAGTTCTTTACTGTAATTTGCCAGGCACAGAGGTGAGACAGACTGGTCTGTAATTCCCTTTGTCATCCATTTTCCCGTTCTTGAATATGGGGGTTATATTTCCCTTTTTCCAGTTGTCCCGAACTTCACCCAACTGCCATGATTTTTCAGATATGATGGACAATGGCTTAGCAACTTTATCTGTGAGCTCCTTCAGGACCTGCAGATGGATTTCATCAGGTCCTGTGGACTTGTGCATATTCAGGTTCTTAAGATGGTCTCGAAACAAATCCTCTCCTACAGTTGGCCTAGGGTCTTCATTCGTTAAATCTTTGTAAGACAGATTCTCCTTTTTTATATGCATATATAAAATCCTGCTCTTTGAATTTAGCAATGTGATTGTTACAAACCAGCTCCAGCAGCGGCCAGATGGCAGTGCAAAACACCATGGTGAGCATGGTCTAGGAAAGTGGTGATGAACTTTGAAAGGACTACATTCATCTGAATATTTTACTACTTCACGATCAAACCCTGCCTTTGAAAATGTCAAAGGCAACTATTCAGGATCAAACACCATACGGTACATTTGTCCTCTTCATTTCCTCTTACAATCAATAGATGAAAAAGTATGTTTCAGACCTGCATGCCACACTATACAGTGTTGTCACCTCAAGACCTCCAAAATGTGAGATAGTGGCAGGAAACTGCTCAAATACATGTTTGTTGGATTAAAAGGAACAGAAATGATCATTAGAAGTCCAGTCTCCTATAGCTCTGCTTGTGACACTATGGTGTGGTTTTACGCTGGAATTCAAGTGTGATTTGCTTATGAAACACTTCCCAGGATGTCCCTAGAACCATATGTAGATGTAATCTGAAGTTGATTTTTCATGACTTTACTGGTAAAGCTCTGAAGATCTGGTTAATGCAGCTCTGTGATAGGGTAACAGCTGCTGAGCCCAACACAATTAAAAATAAATCACAGTAAAAATAGTCATGTATTTGTAACTGGGGAGAAACAATCACCAGGGAGCAGCTGAACTGTTGACAGGCAGGCATCATGTTGACATTCAAAGGTGTTTTTAAGAGCAGCTGCACCCTCCTCTCCCTGATGGCCTCCTGGTCCCCAGCTTGTGGCAGGTGGGTGTCTGTAGTGGATATACCTGATTGCTGGCTTAAACACACCTCTAAACTTGAGGTCCTCCTCAGCTTAGAGACATTTGCAGTCCCTCTGCTTCTGGAATCTGACATCTGAAGTCCCTTGTGCTGGCACTGTGGTGTGTCTTCATGCCACTGAACAGGATCACCTTGCTCACTCCTGAGCCCTGGTGATCCCAATGAGCACCTTCCATCCCTTCTGCCTCTGCTCAGCATTCTCACCTCACCACATCTCTAAATCCAGGGTGGTCACCCATCCCAGTGCCACTTGGCCTCGGTAGGCCCAACTGTTAATGACAGTAGTGCTCCTTTTTTCTCTTTTGCAAATAAGTAACATGCAAATTTATTGAAACTCCTGATGGTTAACCTTGCACTGAAGTGATTCTTCAAACTGCAAGAAGAAACAGTTTGCAGAAGTCATCGGGTTGGTGACAAAGTCTAAATTCCCTTCCTGTGACTGTGAGCACTCAGCTGGCCTGCACCAATCAAAGCAAAGCCCAGTGAAAAGCAGCCCAACACAAACAACCCCAGAATGCAAATATTCATCTGATGCATGCATAAATGGAGGTGTCTGTGATCATTCTTAAAGGTCTTCTTCCATGATTTGTGTTGGAAGGGACCTTAAAGCTCATCCAGTTCAACCCCCCTGCCATGGGCAGGGACACTTTCCGCTAGAGCAGGTTGCACCAAGCCCCATCCAGCCTGGCCTTGAACACTGCCAGGGATGGGGCATTGCAGAAGATCCTAGATGTTGAGTACAGGAAAAAAATTTCAAATCTCGTAATAAGCAAAATAATTACATGCTACGAAGCAAGGAAGTCTCAGGCCTTACGTTTTATTGTTGATGAGAAACAAATCTGGCTTGTGATTGGCTGAGCACACTCAGGTAACAAATTAAAGCCACGCTTCTCATTATCCCCTTTATCGCAGCACGTGATGCTGAGGTTTTGGAACAACATTAAATTACAGTTCACAAACCAAGATGAAAAATTGAGCAGCAGTACAATCTATATGCTTCTTGTGAAGTTAGTATTACACTGACTGTGGATTTAAGAGCTCTCGCTACTTTTAGAAGACAATATGCAAAAGCAAAACTGATAATTCCATGGCTGTAACAAACAGTCCCACAGGCCTCTGGTGAAGATGTTCAGCCTAAGTGTAACAACCCATGGAAAATGGCTTCTGGTTTCAGAGGACATTTTTACATGTCAGCATGTATCCATATTTAACACAATGGTAGCAAACAGTCACTGAATCTGTCAGAAGAGTTTTAGAAGGCAGCTCTGGCCTTGCTAATCTTACCCTTCATTTCTAAACTCCATCAGCTCCCAAACACCTAATTTTCAGTTGATGCCCCGGCTGCAGTGTTTGTGCATCTCCCATCAGAAGCTGGGTGTTATCTGCTCCTTTCCTGTTGGGTGGCACAAAGCAATGGGACACCTCCTCTCATGGCGTACACTCACTCGAGCTCCGTTAATCCCATTCCCAGCCTTTCCTGGATGCTGTTGTGTACATGGTGAAACTGAGCAGGACTGACCATGGGCAGTCAGTCGTGGACTACTGGAGCTGGATCTGAATCCACTCCACTGCAGGGGTGGCTGCTCTTCAGCATCTGAATTTCTCCCACCACCAGTAAAACTGCTGAGCTTAAGCTGAGGTATATCAATTATCTGCAACACCCTGGAAACCAACATCTGTTTGTCTTCTGATTCCCCTTTCTAAACCACAGTGGGGGACATCCAAACACTAGAAGCAAAAACCAGAGCCCAATTTGCTTTCCACCCCTGCCCTAGCACTTCCACCCCGTCCCATCCATGCAGCCAGCAGCCGTCACACCTGTGCTGCTGATCAGCTGTGATAACTGCATTTGCATTAGCTAAAGAGAGATATGCTCAATAAGAAAATGTTCGTGGGCTTGTCAATGCTTAGCACAAGCTTTCCTACAGCTAAACTTGTCCCTGATCCCACCAAGAACAGAAAGCAGGGTTAATATAGTAAATGCTGCTGTTAATTATGATCTGAGTCTCACAGGAGTTTTCTTCAGATCTCAGAACATTTAGTAGACTGCTTGTTAGAAGCGAATTAATTCGCATAGGAACAATAGTTAAATATGGACCTTAGAGTTACTACATATAGGAGTTTCTCTTTTACAAATGAAAGTAGTGCTGCTGTGCTGGAGAGCACAGTGACATGATGGCAAGGAAAGCAGAGACTGGCTTTTATGACACTATTTACAGATTTTCTGTTTAAAAAACTGCTGAATTTGATTTAATATAAGTATAGAACTTTTCTTCCATATACAAACTCTTGTTAGCTGATTAATTATTAAGGTGCTCAGAAGTGTGGATGAGAACAGAAGTTACAGTAGATCAGTTGTGGTTTCGTCTATTTACAAACCGCGCTCAGTTTCCTGCTGGCACTAGTATCTTCCAAAGGAGCTGGAAGCCAAGTGGCCAGTTACGAATCTACTGCCACAGGAACTGTTGTCTTCTTCACACAATCTCTGTCAGAAGGTAAAATAGTAGTACTTCCATTCATTTTTTATTGGCAAAGGTGGGTGCCCTTGCTGAGTCCGTGTAGCTGGTGGTGCCAAGCAGCATCACACTGTGAGACCCCCTGTTTCTAGCTGTTGACTCCTGTCCAGACCTTACCACCAGAATTTGCTGGTCTGATGGGCAGCTGCCCGAGTGAGGACTCACAGCACCAGGTTGTTACACTGCAATGCATCATGTATGGAGCCTTCTAAGTACTCAGAGAGCTCAGATCTACCCCGTGCAACAGAAGGGAACATTTATGTGTGAGAAACCAAGGAGAATGCGCTTAGCAAAAAATCTTATCTTCCCATCAGAAAAAAATAAAAGTCCCAAGTGGCCCATGTTTTGCAGGTCAAATTCCTTCCCCATTAACATTCTCAGAGTTATTTCCTGTCTGATGGCCAAAATCTACCTCTGGTTCTGTTCTCTGCTAACTGGTGGCTGACCACTGCCTGGCATTGCTTCTGTCCGTACAGTCTGTACGTGCATGGGTGCCTCAAAGGAGCTCAAAGTTTGCGTTTCGGGGATCCATCAAACCGGGAGGGTATCTGACCATAATGAAAATGCTGATTTTTGTCCTCATCGTTTTAAGATGCTATAGAAAAAGAAAGGAAAATGAGTTGATTTGACTCCTGTTTGTAAACTTACTATGTACTGTCATCTTCCCCATGTACATTTAAGTTTCAAACAGGTCCCAGAGATTGCAAGGCAAGAGTGTTAAGGCAGTATAAGAAACTCAGTATTTTATTCACACCTCTTGATTCCCTTAGATGTATTTCTAAGGCATCAAAAGGGGCACATGGTTTGTGCTTGCCTTTTCAGAAGAAGGCATTCAGTATAGTGTAAAAAACGGGTGCTCAACAACAGACATAAGCCGCTCACAGCCCCAGGCAATGGCCACACCGTTAGAGAGGAACAAAGAGATGCATTGGGGTTTCCTGGGTGTGGGTTCCTCACCATCGGTCTTTCTGGTACACCTCTGTTTGTACAATCTCATTGGGGTGCTCAGATATGCAGGCCCCATTGATGTCATTAAGCTTGCTGTCTGGAAGATCTTCAGGTTTTGTGCAAAGTTTCAGTGCCCTGGAGATGAAGACATCCAAGTCAAACTCAGAGTCTTTTTTGCTGTTCACCTCTGTGGGTTCTTTGTGGAGGTGGTGAGGAGAAGATGGCAGGCTCCGTTCCTGAATCTCTGGAAGTGGACTGGGACACTCGAGACCCACCTGCGTGCTCTTCACCCACTGAGCAATCTCCAGGAAGAGGTTGGATGGTTCTTCTTCTAGTGACAGCTCAGCTGTGGGTGCTATGGCTGCTCTTTTCCAGTGGGATAAATCTAAAATCAGCTTGGGTTCTGAGTAGTGATGGGGCTTATTGTCTCTCCACAGCAATTTGTCCAAGTAGGAAGGTGACCCCACTTTGTAATCACATGATTTTCCACAATCAGCATCAAATACTCGGTCCATGGATGAGTGGGAGAGCTCCAAGAACCTCTCCGAGCTGCTTTGTGAGTATTTCCGTGGATCAACTTGTGCTTCCTCAGCAATGGATTCAGACCCTGCCCGAGGGTCCCGCTGAACATCATCCATGTCATGGTATTTATCATGTCTCCATTCCAGGTCAGAGGAGAGGCTTATGTGATACCTGTGAAAAACATGCTGCTATTAGACACACAGATGACAGCTTCATTAGAAACAGCACTGCTCAAACAGACGTGCACCTTGCTGCTGCTATTTTTGCTTTTTTCTTGCTAATATATTGCTTACTACAGATCTCTAACTTCTTATTAGTATTAGAGATCTTTCTTTTGTGTGTTAAAAAAGGCGGGGGGGGGGGGGGGGGGGGGGATGTGGTGTAATTTATCAAGAGTCTGAGATGGGACCAGTAGTAGGTAAAAAGCCCCAACAACCAAACCAACCAGATCCTTCATTTAGGCCTTTATCATCTTCCCTCCACTTGGTATTAAAACATTATTAACAATGTTAATAATGAAACTGACCTTCAGCCCACAGACAAGTACCCTCAGTGTGAGAGCTCCTTGTTTGTTGGCATAGAAGTAAAAAAGATGAGATTGTACATCACCATTTACTCTGACACTGAGATTGTACATCACCATTTACCCTAAATGGTGGACCAAGACCATCGCTGAAGGGCCACCTTCCAAAGTGATAACTTTCCCCATTAACTGCAATTACCTGGTAACACCCATTCTTAAACATGGTTTTCAAAGTGACATTTAATTTACTGGTTCCTAACTGAGCTGCTTTTAAAAGATGTATTATCCCAGTTATTGGGGCTCTGTGTCCCAGGTCTTCAGGTATCCCACAACAAACAGGTAGAAATCACTTCCCATCTCTAAAACACTCAGCTTGTGTTGCAAAATTTAGGCCACTATAGCAGATGTCCCCAGCTGGGTGGCAGGACCTACAGCCCAGGTCACAGCTTCTTGTGTCACACCAAGAAAACCAAGAGATAAAAAGGTGACCAGGTGACCTCCAGCAACTGATTTACTGCTTTGGAGATTATAATGGGAGGGATTCTGGAGCTGTGGGTACACTGAAGACAGAAATCCTGAGAAAAGCTTCCAGCTTTCCTCTTATACCTAATTTACCTCATTGCCCCCCAGCCTCCACACTGATATGTGTTCACCAGGCAGAGAGATTAATAATAGTGAAGGCAAGGGATTTCTTTAGATTACTTTTTCAGTGCTGATGAAATACGGTGGATTAAGAAGGTGAGGAGATTTAATTGCTATTCAGAGAACAACAATGCTGCAGACATCCTCAGCCAGCTCACCCCACTCAGCTGGAAAGAGCTGTATAGGAAAATGAACTTACTTAATTCTTAGCTGCTTATTTTGTCCTACCTGCTCTGGCACTGGGACTGGCCTAGTAACTGGGGTAATCATGTAGGGCATGGGAGGCCTCAGCTGAAGGCTTTGGTCTGCTCTGAACTTGCTGTACGACTCCCAGCAAACCATTTAAAAGTCATGCAATTAAGAATACTTTAAAAGACCCCAGATCTGTAGCCTCTGAGGCTTATGAACCTTGAAAAGTGATTATATTCTGCTCCAAATCAGGCCAAGTCCCCAAAAGGTACAAGAGTTACATTATTTTTTAACTGGTATTATCACAGAATCCCAGCCTGGTTTGTGTTGGAAGGGACATTAAAGCTCCTCCAGTTCCAGCATCCTGCCACAGGCAGGGACACCTTCCACTAGAGCAGCTTGCTCCAAGCCCCTGTGTCCAACCTGGCCTTGAACACTGCCAGGGATGGGGCAGCCACAGCTTCTCTGGGCACCCTGTGCCAGGGACAGAGGATGGGGGGAAGAACCATAACATCACTTAAACAGATGTAACTCAAATGAAGACAGTATAGGCTGTGAATAAAAGCAAGAGCAGAAAGATAGTGACTGGGATGTGCACGCTCAACATCTGCTCACTATGGACATCAGTGATGAACCTCTCATTGGCTTTAAAGAAAGCATAAAGATGGCATAAATAAGCAAAAGCAGGTGTCCTTTGTGGGTCTGGAACATGTGTGATTGAACCTAGCCAAGAGCAGGCCAGAGGCTCACCAGTCAAGTTCTGCCTAAGTTATGTAAGCCAGTATGTGGTCTGTGGCCTAGCCTTGGGTACCATACCTGTCCCAGTTAGACATCTGGCTCTGGTTGGCTTCCATGAGTAAAATATCATCAATCTCATCCTCAATCCGGAATGGATGCTGAGACACTGGTTCATCCTCGGGGCAGGAATACTGACTCATGTAAGGATGCTGCAGACCCATCTCAGCCGTTAATCGATCCATAGGGTTAAATGTCAGTATTTTCTCCAGAAAATCAATAGCTGTGAAGCAAAGAGAAACAAGCTCACTAATTCCTCAAAAGCAATACCAGATTCCTTTCCAGAATAAGCCTTTTGAATCCCCCATAACAAATCCCTTTGAAGTAAGGAAGGAATTAAAGGTCACATGCTGTGTGCATCTAAAACAGGCACTTCTGTCCTTGCAGCATCCATCTTACTTGCCCCAGGAGCAGTGTCCTTGGAGTAGAGCAATCCCACATCCTGCAGGTGTCATTTTATCTAGCAAGGCAGGAAAAATGACAACATCACACCTCCACAGCGCAGCATGTACATGTTATACCCTGTCCTGTGATCCTGGGCCAGAACACTGAGCTGAAGGTCAAAAGATCTTTGCATGGTGTCAGGTTTGATTCTGGGCTCTCAGATTCATTTGACAAGCACACTGCGTTTCAGACAACTGATTTCACATCTTGTACAGCTGAAGTGGGATTAGATTTAAAGTGCAATTTTTAGAAGTCTTTGGCATGACCAACACTCTGAAATTACCTACCCTTTAATATTTAAAGAACTCCAAGTGTCTAAAATTACTTTAGAAAGACTGTGGAGCATGAACTGTTTTTACAATGATGAAGGAGGAAGTTAAGTGAAATTGAAATTACTAGAATTACATCTAAATATAGAGGGCTTGTTGTGAGTTCTTTGATGATACCTTTTACTGAGCTTATGTGGAAAGATCAAATCCTGTCATTAAAGAGGCTATTCAGTTGATTCTTGGTGAATGGAAAAAACCCTTTACAGTTCAGATAATACAAACAGGAAAATGCCTTTCTTCAACTGCAACTGTGGATTGTACCTTCAGAAATATCCTCATTAAAGGTGTAAGTGTGAATGGGACAGTTTCTTCAAGGACAAAAGTCACTCAGCAAGAAGGCCAGGCCATACCTATTGCCTCAGTGCTTAAACATTAACCAATATCCAATTGTCTCCCACAAGATTATTTCATTGCTTGGGCTAATTAAGTAGGAAGGAATCAAAAGCTTCATAAGGTCACCGACTGTGGGTGAGAAGCATGAAGGAATGATATATTATGGGTCAGAGAGGAAGGAAAATATCAATGAATTATATAAAGCGCACAGGTGACCTTTCTTCCCACAGTAACGACAGGGAATAAATCCACCTCTGCTTGCTGGAGGCTGACATGGGTAACCCAGGCTGATGACTATCACATTGCCAAGCCCTGGTAGCACATGTCTTATAACCAGAAATTACACCAATGAACATAAGCCAGGCTGGGTCTTGACGTCTTCCCAAAAGCAGGAGGCCAGGTCCACTTACCCCAGTTTAAGCCCTGGAAGGAGGGCAGAAGAGCGGATGTGCCCTGATCCACACTGCTCAACTCTGGCTGCCACCCTGCAAGCTCCCACTGCCTGCAAAGCTGCTCCAGGCAAATGTTTAGGTCTGGAAGCCTGTGGTTTCCAGCCCCCTCACAACAACACACCGCTGGTTTCTACTTTTTTTAAGCTTTAGCCAAAGGAGGAAAGGGGCTGAAGTGGTGCTCAAGCACTGCAGGCTGCGACAGCCTGACGTGAGTAATGTCCAAGCCTTGAAGCACTTGGATGCTTCTGCTTGTAGCAACCATCTCACTGAGTTCAGATATTTGTGAAGTAAGTGAATTTATTCTCTTGTATTATACAAATGCATTCATGCAAAAAGCACAGCAAGAAAATTAACAGGGCTTGAAAATAACCCCTGCAATGAAGACTCACAGGTCAAGAAAAGGCACAGAAAGGCAAGGATGCACCTTGAAAGTGTCTTGGAATAGTCTTGGAAGACTATTTCACCCATATTTCTATAAGAGTTACCTGCAAGAAAGCTACCGCATCACCATTGCTATCCTGCAGCCACATCTTCCCTGGTGGGATGGTAAGCAGGACCCTGGTGGGGACAGCACTGCAGCCATGCACTGTAACCCCCCAGATATCTGAACCCCGTTCACCAGTGTTAATGCACTTGGCCTTAGAGGACAATCCCTGTGACCCTCTGGGGAAACACCTCTGCCAAAGCCAGGAGGCAGTACAGTACCTTCACTGTCCACTTCGGGGAGCAGCTTACGCAGTGGCTTCCTCACTTCCCAGGTGCTGTTGATGAACGTGGGCATCACTTTGAGCAGCTCCTCTTTGTCCTCCTCATGGATAACTGGAATTGTCTCTAGAATAAGCTGCATCTGTTCCAGCTCATGACCCCCTAAACGGGCAGAAAACAGGCAGAGAGGTAAGACATAGAAGTTAAACTGGGTGTACATGTGTGTTGTATTACCTCCCTGAAATGAGCCATGTCGCTGCAATGCTGCATCTCTGAGTGCATCTCTGCACTGATGCTTTCCAGTATCAGCCACCACTATAAATGCAATGAAAACATCCTCACCACCTTCTCATGAACCAGGTGCAGTAATATCCCCCGGTCACTTTCATTTTCCTCTGTTGCTGTCTTCCTGCATGAGAGCTCACCTTTTGGTTCTCCCTCTACACAGCAGTACATGGAGCAACCACTCAGGTGTGTCCAAGGCAGAGCTTCAGGTGAGATGCCTCCATCTACACACACACAGGCCGTGCAGCCCACAAAGCACCCATACCTCCTCTCCCATTCACCCTGGCGGGACACCAGGGTCACCTCATTTTAAGGGTTTAAGAGTTAACCTAGACAATTTGCCCCGTATCACCCTGAGGCTGTCAGGCAGAGCAGAAACTGTACCCAAACAAAATCACAGAGGTGGGAGCTATTACCCATTGCTGGGCTCCATCATGTGTGATACGAAGAGATGAATATTTGCTCTAACAACAGCCTCAGAAATGACAACTTCTCCACCTCTAGTCTGCCCTGGGGAGACACCACCCCCACCCCCCCCCATAGTCCTGGTCCAGCTCTGGAGGAGCAACACACTTTAAATGAATGCAAGCGCAACATTTGGGAGAGCACAAGGCTCTGATTGTGACAGTCCCCACAACTGCTATGAACAATCATGTATTTTTCATCCTTTTCCTTCAGGACATATTAATCCACAGCTACGAGTCAGTGAGAGGAAGAAGCACAGCATTGTCAGTGGAGCGAAGCAAACCATTTCATTAATGAACGTTAATCCCATTCTTTGATGCACTATTGGATTTGACCAACAGCTCAGGGGCTATTTCCAGCCTTCTATGTGTACAGAGAAGCAGCCTGGCAGAAATACCAAGTCACACTATTGATTTTGTGTCTGCCAGAAAGGCTGGTTATAAATATTCTGTCATTAGAGGAAGGACTATCCACTAAGACAGCAAGCTGGCTGGCGTGGACAAACCAATGGGGTTTTGGGGCCACCAAGCCCCTGCTGTCCAAGTTGTGAATTTGAGGTGGCTTCACTGGTGAGCAGCAACTGGATGATCCACAAGAGAAGTGAACCTCATTTATGGCACAGCACTTCTAACCAGTTTGTAAGGAGGGTGGAGAGCACAACCTACAGGGGCTGGTGTGGACCATCACTGGCTTCACACCCTCAGGCGACTCTTTCCCTTTGGAGGTCCCTGGCACCTTGCAGGGGCTGCCCTCCCCAGCCTAGAGCTCCCTCTGGGTCTGCAGCAGGTTTCCAGACTCACATCCATAGAGCTGACCCCAAACACACACAACCCAGGGCAAGGGTACTTCCAAATGTCAAGGTTGGGAAAGGGTCTCCATCCATCTTGGCCTCATCACTCCAACAAGTTTTGGTTCAATGCAGTTGTATGCACCCCAAACAGCAGAGCTCCAAGCCAGGACATGGCAATGAACTTAGACAACACCAAAGTAACACCGACATATTTTGAGCAAGCTGCTCTAGAGGAAGGTGTCCCTGCCAGTGGCAGGGGGTTGGAATTGGATGAGCTTTAAGGTCCCTTTCAAACCAAACCACTCTGGGATTCTATGACATTAGCAGAGCTGGTCACCATTGCACTACACATCCACCCAGAGCAAAACCTCAGAAGATAAAGCAGTAGGAAAGGCAAAAAAGACAGAGGGACACCCTCCCAAAAAATCAATCCTGGGCAAATTAATTAACTTTCCTATAGAAGAACTAATTTTAGGTCATTTAGAGGTTCACAGCATGGCTCCAGGAGAAACTAAAGATGACCATCAAGAAACAAACACTTTGTTGGTCAGGCTAATTCCCAAACTGTGATCAGAATCACAGGGTATTGAAAATCCCAAAGGCTTCACAGCTGTTCTCCTCTCAGTGCAGCTCCTGCCACTGCTCATTGAAGGTACATGACAGCCAAAAAGCAGTGTTTAGTCACACAGAGAAGCTGCTAATGCAACGCTGGAAGCCTTGAATTATGGCTCTCAGGAACCCACTTCTCCACCATTATCCTCTTATTTATGTAATTCCTAGGGACCTTCTGGAGGCATTAATTCCTGAGAAGAAAAACACAGACTACAGACAGAATAAACGTAATGTGCTGTCATTACCCGAGGAGAGAACAAGGAGCTCTGCATCACGTCTTGGAAAACGGAACCCTTCCCTGGGCTTGCAGCCAAATCCTGGCTATGCACCCAAGCCCTGCTAGTGAATTATCTAGGAGCAAGCACTGATCCCATGGGAAATGCCACCACGTCACCTCCTATCTCATGGTCCACTGGCAAACCCCACAGACACCTGCAAGGACACGCAGCTTTTCTTTTTCTCCCCGTTTTCTCTTGTCTGCACTGGTGAGGCTTTAGATACACTTCGGCAGCAGAGGGTGGAAGAGTCACTAGAGGGAGCTGTAGCTGCTCAGCTGGGGATGCCGTTCCCTGTTCTCCATGCAGCTCGCGGTGGGGGAGCTCTCCAAAGAGATTTTAGGTGCTGGAGACAGGCTACGCTCCGTGAGCTTTGGATCAGTCACATTTCTTGGGGTCTCCCGGGTCTCTGCCAAACCCAAAGCTGCTCCTGCCACCGCACCACAGAGAAGGAGCCGTGGAGAGGGCAAGGAGCCGGGGTCCCTCTTTGCTGGGTGTTCATTAGTGTGTGGGAGAATGAAAGCAGTGAGTAAAAGCTAGTAATGGATCACCTTAAGTTAACTACCTTGCTTAAGCAGCCCAGACAAACTACTGAGTTAATTACACTGACTTATGCCAAGCACTCGATTTAAGTTGTGCCACTGACGCATACTCAGAAAACAAATTTATCCAGTGAATGGCAATTACTGGAGGTTTGCAAGTTTCTGGGAACTACATCGCTCTTCTTTCCCACGAGGTGTTGCTGGTGATCCAGAACTCTCCAGAAGTCTCATCCTGCAGTGTTGGGGGCTGTAACTGGGCTTGGGTAAACTCATTCTCCCAAGCAAAGAGGAGGGAAACAAAAGGAAAGATGAACCTGTGCTGTCCTATGAGTGTTCGCCAGTTTTAGTTGCTCTGAGTGGCTGGAGTTTATTCCCCTCCTCTTTGGACACCAGCAGATGAAAGATAGTACATGGCATGGGACACCACCATGGGCACCCTTCCCACTGCCAGGCTCCCACCCCAACTCTTACTTACCTACTGGTGTAGGAGGAGGCCAAGAAAATGGGGCACAGGGCAGAACCTTCCCATAACAACTCTATGGACTATTTTTAAAGCAACCCAAAAGAAATATATAGTTTGAGCTCTGGTTTTGATCCCCACCCATTAACTCAGTATCTGGGGGCTTATTAAGGGACTGCACAGGGCTGGAAAGCAGAGAAGCAGAGATGCTCGCAGCATGTGTCTGGCTGAGCCCAACCTGTGACCTGCCAAATCCCATCTCCTGATCTCTGACCTGCTGTGGACTCTCAGGAGCCAAACTGCAAAGCAGGTTCCCATATGGCTGTTCTGGGCCACCTCACCTGGGCAGCCAGGACAGGACTGATGTGACATGTACCCACATGTAACACCAGCACAAGCACTTCAGCTGTCCTCCAGACTTTTGTATTGGAAAAATAAATATTTCTAAAGTCAGTTAATCTCATCTAATGCAGACAGCTAATAGAGGACAGATGAATCACATTCTGGAGCTGCCTTTGCCTCTGCCTTGACCGTGAAGGGAGCTTTAAGGACCAGGTATCTGGTGTCAGCCAATGTAAATTCTACCCCAGGGTCTACAAACAGCAGAAACACCAAGCTGAGGCAGGAGTCAAGCATGGCTTGAAATGCAAGGATAAAGATGCATGGCTACTATAGTGGGGATGGCCAGAGAAGGACCTAGTCAAGCCAGTCTTGTTTTGTTGTTTGACACAGGGAATGAGTACAGGAGAACAGAAACTGAGTCCAGAAGGATTTCCTTGGGGCTCCAGATACATCCAGTTTAAGTATGAGGCAGTGCACTGCTCTACTCTGGTTCAACTCCTGCAGGACCAGGACCATCTGTGCTGGGGTTTGCTTCTGCTGCTCTGGTTTACCTGGAGATAGTTTGGATCCAGTGCTCTGGACTGGCGGAGCTGAGGTGCCTGATGGTGCCTGCAAAGGCATCGTCCAGTTTGCTCCCACCCAAAAAGCTCATAAACTCTTCCACGTTGTAAACCATGGCTTGGCAAGGGGAAGCCCCTGGCAGAGCTGTCCCTGGAGCTCACCCATGTGTAGTGTCTCCCAGTGCCTGCACAGGCAAGTGGCACGTGGAGACATCCCCTCTCCTGGAATACATCCTGAGGAGGCACCAGAAGCAGCCAGGTCTGACTGAGTTATTTTCATAACTGAAGTCCCTGGACTTGAAAATTCTGGGGAGGGGAGACCAAGGACATGAGGAAGGAAGGAAAATGAGGCAGTTTTAATGACCTCTTCCAAATGATGCCGACTGCTTCATTTTCACCTTTCACAAAAGAAATATGGAAGCTGGAGCATGGAGGGAGCAATGGAGCAGCTGCAACCAAGCACCAGCTGTGGAGCTGTGCAGCGCACTGAAATATTTGTGAAGAAAATGTCCTTCTCCATTATTAATGGGCCTAATTATTTATTTACACAACTCTGTGAGCAGCTGCTCGCAGAATGCATTAGACCTTGTCATTCACAGCACTAACGGGCGATGGAGAGACAGGCGAGAAGGAGGGCTGCTGCAGACCCCAGGCATGGAAGCGATGTGGTCAGCAAGCAGAGAGTGGCTGCTTAATCCCCAAACATGTCTCCATGTCCAGCCTGGGCAGCACAGCTTTGCTCCTGACAGCAGCACTTGCATTAAATCAAGATTTACTTCTCAAGAACATCAGAGCTGAGCTTCAAATGCTGCACTGATAATTATGCTCTCCTTGCCAGTGCTGCCTTTGTCTTCTTTTCTTTGCACTGCACCTTTACAACTCCAATACCTGCTTATAAGGAAATACTGAAAATGGCTGAAAATGGGTAGTGGCATTAAAATGTCTTCCCTCAGAGAAATGAGATACCTTGAAGACACCAATCACAATTCAAACCCATGGCTTAGAGTACAAACCTCTTGGGACAGGCTCACATTATCTCCTGTCCTATACTCTACCCTGTATTACTTTTTAGCATCCCCAGTCCCAGCAAATCCTCCTGTGTTCTGTTGAAAACCCAGAAACAGAAGAAAGTCTGATTGTCTCATCAGAATTACTCATTGTTTGGATTTTACCTTTGGCAGCAGACCATCCCTGCCCAACAAGGCTCAGCAGAGCCAGCCTCAGGCACCCACCAGCTGGTGGCTTTCCTCTGGGGCCATCATACCAATACCAACAGGTGTCCTTGCCAGGCAAGCACAAGAAAACTGAGTGAAAATCAACTCTTCTCCCTCCTCAGGGGACCGCCTGCATCAGGGAAGTCTGTACCAATCAAGGGACCCTCTAATAGAGGCTGTGCAAGCGATGTTTTTTCTGGAGACAACTCCACGTTAACAGCTATAGGATCCCTGTAGTGATGCTACAAGTTTTGCCTTAGCTGGAAGGAGAGGGGAATTACCTCTGCCATGCTTGGAAGGCTTAGAACGGGGTAGCAGGGAAAGAGGGATAAAACAAAAATGAATTAACAGGGAGGCAGAAACCTACCAGCAAAGAGCATCCTTCCCGTCAGCATCTCGGCAAGGATGCAGCCGGCTGCCCACATGTCGATGGCTTTGGTGTAGTTGTTTGGCGAGAGGAGGAGCCGGGGGGAGCGGTACCATTTTGTCACTAAGCCTTCAGAAAGGTAACCCTGAAATAGCAGAGACAGAGATGTCAGGAGCCTTGCAGCAACCATGCTGACACCATGGCCACACCATCAGATCCTACAAAACCTGCCCACTGCACTTGTGCTGTACCTAAGGCAGGCTGCGGTTGTGTATCTTGCAGGAAGCAAGACATGAGACATACACCACAGGAAACAAGAGATGCTTCACTCCTCCAGGAGACAAAGCACTCGCAGCTCCCCTAAAACTTGTTTGCTGTTTGTCACCATGGCATTGAAGCAACTTCTGCAAAGAACAGATGGCTTGAATAGCACAGATTTGCAGATCGTACCTGCAGAAGTTATTTCAGGTCACTGTTAAGAGGACTTAGCTGTATTATATAAATCCCAATTTCATCATCTGAGACATTTTGGAAGTTAAGCACGTTATTTCACTACTTTGCTGGGTCCCAGCTGTAACCCAGCAGCCTGTGAAGGAAGCCCTTCCCAGCTCAGTACCACAAGCACAGTGCTTAGACTTCCAAATGTCACCAGTTTGCAAACTTTTGCTTATTCCATCTCTAGTTAATCCCACATCTACAGTCCCTCCATAGCTACCTAAACCACTGGTAACAGCAAGCTACATATCGTTGAGTTCCCATGGATCCAACTCCAAACACTGATGCTAAAAAACTGATCTTTTAAGGGCAGGAGCTCTTAGGGGAGCCCACGCAAGAGAAGGCACCCATGGGTAAGTCCAGCGAGCACCAGGGGACACACAAGACCAGAGCAGAGGTGGCCGAAAGGACTTCCAAGTGGGCAGCACCCAGAGGATATGCTCAGCATGATCTGGTCTCTCACAGAAGCCAGGCTTCCTTGGAATGCTGCCATAGCAAACCCCACTTGGGTTTGGGGCACATGCTGTGAACTGCAGATGAGCCTCTTCAGCATCTCACAGGGGTGAGACGTGGGACCTTGTGATAAGTAGGAAAACAAGGGAATGGGCAGAGAAACAGATTTAGGGAGGAACATCGCTACTGCATGGAAGGAAAGCCTTCTGGATGAACAGATGTCTTAAAGCATCGCCGAGCGGGTAACAGCCCCACAAGGGCTCTTAGCCAAGACTCTTGAAATTAAGACACCATGGGATAAGTGGGAAAGCCCTTTCGAGGATTAGCTAGCTGATGCAGAACGAGGAAACCCTGTCATTTCTGCACCAAGCCTGAGTGCTGCCTAATACGTCACCTCCCTTCCTCACTGCCCAGCTCCTGGCATTGCAGCCAGGTGGCATGGGGCAGGTCATCTCCTCTGTCCTACTTTGCTTACAGTAGGATGTTTTGCTGGGATGCCTAACCTGCTTTTAAAGGAGATGTCCTCAGCAGCACCCCATGGGACAAAGACCAAGCGCTGTCACCTCCTGGACCTCAGCCTTCCTGTTCCTGAGTTCACCCAGGAGATTCAAGACAAGTGCCAAGCGCTCAGCAGCTCCCACTCGAATCAAGGGGATGTGTTCAATCCTGCAAATAACACTGGCACCGTGAGGGATGTCACATTGCCCCCCACTTTGCCCATCAGCCAAACTCCGGATGCATGCCATGGATGGGCATGAATAGTTAGTTCATCAGGATAATGCCAGAATATTCCTAGTGCCATTTTCTACATTAAATATAACGCATTAAAAGAACGAAATAGATTGAAATGCACTTGTAGAAGTACAAAAGACAAACTAAAATTAAATTATAAATTTAAATTGCATTTAAATGCCATGAAGCACTTGGAGAGTATCTAAATGCAATGACAGCATGAATACAGTTCACATAAAAACTCAGTTAAAAACTCCATCCTAGCTGATTTAATTCACAAACTGTTTTCAGTTGCGATACAACTGTGGATGCAGTTATGCCATGTAACCTCTCCTAGCACGTTACGGGATGCATCTCTCAACCTAAACACGAGAGCAGTGCACCATCACAAACACTACAAGGTTCATAATGCTCCTCTTCCCCCAGTGCAGGTTTTTGCTCCGATTTCCAAATGCGCAAGTCATCATAAAGGGTTTGCTTTTAAAAGAACATTTTAATTTTGGTCTTCTTGAGATAAATTGTAATGAAGACTGATGAGCTGAGAAGTTTCATTTAATGCCATTACATTTTTGTTAATGCTGCTGAATCAGAACCAGCACAAAAGCCCCAGGCATTAACTGATCAGACTGCCACTCTTCAGCTACTGCAATTATTCCCAACAATGCTGATACTTATTGGAAAATCCTAAGAAAATGAATTTTGGGGATAATGATCCCAGGCAATTCATAGCAGTAGCAAATTTTCCTTTTCGCAGAAAAGGAATGTCGCTCTCCTTACAGATTTAACACTTGGTTCATACATTTTTTTTCTCTGACAAGATGGATTTGAGTTCTTGGGGGCATGTACAGCTTGGAAAATGTATGAGGAATATACTGCAAATATCTATATGTTAGAATAAGCCAAACCTTTTTTCCCCCAGGCATCTCTCATGTATTGCAGAAAATTCCCTACAAAAACTCACCCAATATTATGGACACATCAACCCCTCCCCTGCTGTGTGAGGTTACTGGTGGTAATTAATTAGCAGCACTTCTCATTGTGCTTCCCTCTTCTGTCACCCATCAACATATCTTTGACTGCAGTCCGCTGTTTACTGAATAACCCAGACACTGGGTCACCCATCACCAAGCCAAGGAAGGACACATGGGGAGGCGCAACTACATGAACTAGACTGATGCATCGATCCCACCTTGCCTCCCATGGCATTCTGCTGTTGTGCTCTGGGTTATCCCTCCTCTTTCCCAGGAGGAAAATAGTGGGAAAATGATGGGAGTTTTGAAGATCAAGACTTTACTGACCTGGCCTGAGGTTTTCCAGTGGGAGCAGCTGGTGTTGCTGCCACAGCAGTCCAGTCCTGGGTGGCTTATACAGCCCCAATGCCTATGTCTGCTCTGCCTCTATGGTGGCTAAAAACGTGTGCTATTTGTTTACTTTTATAAAATATACAGAATAAGTTGCTGTCCTGGAGGATGTAACTACAGCCCTGTGGACTATCAAGTCCTCAGGAGAAATACCACCACAGCTGTGGCAGCAGAGAACATGCAGTCACTGGCACAGCCACAGGATGCTTGGGTAAGGATCCACCTAAACCAGGGTTAGGTATGGGCTTGGCTCTTACCCATGGTGCCAAGACTTATATGAGGACAGGAGCCGTGGCAGGATGCAGGGCCTGAGCACTTATACAGGGCATGGGCTTTAGCACAAGATTTTCACCATTTATGTGTATTCAACCAGACAGACAGACCAAGAACAGGAGCATGTTAATTAGTTATAATTAAGATGGAACATACATCTTCATGACAATATTCTGTGGATTCAGCACAGCCCTGTCTGAACTGAAGAACTCCCGGAATCTCTTTAAAACTCAATATAACGGAGTCAATTTGAAAACAGAAGTAGCTTCAAGTCCCAGGTTTGCTCTCAAGCCCTCCCAAGCTATTTCGGTGTGTTTTTTTGGCAGTTTTCAAGTACCATTCTCCTGCTTCTCCTCTGCTCCTATAGCATGTGCAGGCATGCTCGGCAATCTACAAAGGTGATGAATTCACTACAGGTAGGATAAACATCGAGTTGCATTCAACAGCACCAACGAGAAACTGAAAAGCAAAACAAGAAAGAATGTTTCTTTCTAATCTTTACACAACACGGATTTTGTGTGTCACTTGTAGCACCAGAAGGAAAAACTCTTTCAGCTGGGTACTGCTGCATCCCAGCATTGCACTGGTCATGGGATGCTGGACCGCTTGCATCCCGAGAGCACCATGGGAACCTGGCACAGCATGGGGAGCATGGGGAGCACAGCAAGATCCCCCAGTGCTCTGAAACAGCCATCATCCGAGGCCAGAGCTCCTCGTTGGAGCTGGAGGCCTCCTTGAGGTGGACACCAAAATCCAGGATCCCACCTCCTGCAGACCAGGCAGCCCCCAGCACTGTAGCCCAAAGCTTCTCCTGAGAGTATTTCACACCAAAATCCATCTTCCTGCACTCAAAAAGCTGCAGAAGTGCCGACCAGGCACCCACGAACTGTAAATCCAGCAGGATTCAGGCACAGCCTGTCTATTCACACCTCCATCCACAGCAGCAGGCAGGATTTCTGTAGCTGCACCAGGAGCTGGGTCAATTCCTGCTGCAGATGGCTGCAGTGCCAAGGTATGGGGACTCAAAATAGTAACAACCCCAAGCTTTTGGAATGATCCTGGTGCAGCAGTGGGCTGCTGCCTCTGCACAGCATGGTTCTTAACCTTATCTTTTAGAAGGCAGGTAGGGCAGATCTAGGAGGAGCTGAGAAAGAAGGCGGATTTGCAGGAATATTGTTCCATAATAAAATAATAAAATCGGCATTGTGCACGGTTCCAGCAATGTGACGTGTATTCTCATGGTTTTGGGATGACAGAGCACATTTATTTCAGGACTACACACTGTTTCGTGCTTCATCAGAGGACAGAGAAGGAGAACAACCGAGCTGGGGTCACAGCGGGGAGGCTCGGTGCTGCCTGCATGGGGCCACAGGCAACTGCCTGAGGGCTGGACGTGGAGGGTGGTCCTCTCCAGGGTGAGTACAGACCAATATCCACATCCTCCTCTCCTCTGAAGACCTCCTCGTGATGCTCCACCTGGGAATTCCATTGTTTTACTGGATGAACTGGAAGCTATTAAATTTGCAATGACCAGCAAGTACAAAACAAAGGGAGGACTTCAAAGGTTTGAAGATGTTCTGGAAACTATTTACCACAAGATCGCCCCCTAAAAGTACTGCTGCACCCTCCTTAGCATGGAATTTCTGCCAATTAATTATGTAATTAATATTGCCATTAAAGGCAAAGGGAGAGAGGCAGCCCCATGCAGATGCCCCCAAGTGCTTTGAGAAACCAGGCAGAGCCCCCATATCCCCACAAGAGGTAATATGACTATTTTGTACAACATGGGTGGGCTCAGGAGTGTCCCACTTCACTGTCCTCACTTGAGTAAAGGAGATTTAGCAAGTCTTTGTATCCCCAGCAGGCGTTTCTGCTGTCTTCTCCAGCCATCTCTGACCAGCACTGGGCACCATGACACATGGAATGCACGGCCAGGGCCTTCTGCCCCCAAAATTATTCTGAAGTCTAGACATTCATTGATATTTATCCCAATTCTTAATTCTTGACTTTGCTACCTCCCTGCTTTCCCATCCCTCCTGCCTATCATGAGCTGAGGATGCTCAAGGGAGGAGAGCACCTCACATTTGCACCCGTTTCCCTCCCACATTTGGGGCAGATCACAATATTTATTAGGCATAAGATGGATGGATGGGCAGCTAAGCACACCCAGGCAGTCTCTGAAGAAATACAAGACAGAGGGGGCATTGCAGAGTGCTCCCATCGTGAAGGTGAGATGCTTCGTTCAGCAAGGAGGCAGTTAATGACAACGGAAACGCTCAGCTTTGCCTGTTTTGCACATGAATAAGGACCCTGTGGAGGCTGAATCTACCCCTTACCTTCATCTCCAACACTCCTCTGCTCCCCATTTGGGCACCAAGTCACATGGGAAAGCATTCAGACCACAAACAGCAGGGACTGAGGAAAAAGGGATTAACATGGAGATGTTCTACAGTGATAAACAGCAGGATTAGTAACTCCTAGGTAAGAAGAAGGAAGAGAAAGGAGCCTGCATGGCTGGATTGCGACAGCATCAGATAAGAGGATGGCAGAGAAACGGACATACAGGATCATCTCCTGCTAGACCTGATATTCTGTGCCCTAAAGAGATGCTTGCAAGTTCATGAACACCCAGGTTGCTTAGAAACGTGTTTATGTGATACAGGGCTAAAATTTAAGCCGACAGGTCTAAGCAGCCTGTGAAGGTGCAGACCCAGATCTGGATGTGACCTCGGCAGCCTGAAATTCATCTCATCTGTTATGGGGAGGTTTGAAAACAACAGATGCACATATGCTGCTCTTAACGCGTGAAGAAAGGGATTTGAGCAGCAAACACCAGCCAAGTGGTGGGAAAAACACAGGTGAAGCTGCTCTGCTTCAAAGCTGGTGTGGGCCAGCACCCTGCAGTGGTCCAGGGCATCTCACAGAGCTGAAGAGCTACTCCTTTCCCACCAAATCGTCCTCAGTAAACGGCTGCCTGCTGCAAGCCATGTAAACAAGGCACATTGCCAAGTAAGGGCTATTATTTAAGTGGTATATGTATTTCTAAACTGTGTTCAAAACTGCTTGGTTTGGGATTTGAGAAGCATTGGGGCAGAAAAGTTGTGACCTGTTAGACAAATAAGAATACACAGCCTGTGATTTTTTGGTTTTAGCAGAAGCCAGACACCAGTCCAAGCACATTCCAGACAGAAAACATCCTAAAGGAAAAAAAATCCAAGTGCTTAAGACAACCCTTCCTCACCACAAAGACTTGAAAGAAGACATTATGCTAGAGTTATGCACTGCCTTCAGAGGTTTGGATCTGATGGGTCTTTACAGTAATTAATTACCCAGGGAGAAGGATTTCACATGCTTTTGGCCAGCTTTGCATTAGCACTTGCTGTGCTACCAAATTAGCACTTGCATTAGCACCAAAACTGGGCTGTGAGGATCTCTGTTATTCTCAATGCTGGCTGGCAGTGGTGTGGAGGCTCAGCAGCTTCAGACAGGACCAGCGATGCTCTGATCCTTTCCCTCTTGCTGATGCTTTCTGCGAAAGCACAGACCAAGGAGATTATAAATCTGTATGAGCCCCTCAGGAAGGCAGAGGTTGAAAGAGAAATATAGGAAAGAATTTATTTTTATGAGTCATCTGAGAAGAGATGGAGATCAAAGGCGCAAATGACCCAAGCCCTCTTGTCAGACCTTTGCAGCAACCATCACCTGACGGCAAACACACTCCTCCCCATCACCAGAATTTAGAGGTAAGTGACATCATTTGTGGTGCTGGGTGCTCACTGCTGCTGCTATTTTCAGCTCTGCTCTGAAGTGCTACCCAGCCCTCCCTGCACAGTGGGGATCTGCGGGTTTGTTTGCAGTGATGCTCCACTGGGAGGAATTGGAGGATGCTCATGCAGTGGCATCTTGCTAAGTTACATCCCACCACAGAGCCACAGCCCTTGACAGATCTTTCCCACTGCACTGGCTGTTCTTAAGCTGACACAGAATTGCTTAGAAATAACAATAGTTCTGCAGCACAGACAGATGACTTACCCTGATCCTTGTGTCTGACAAGATGATGCTCCTTAAATCAATGACTTTCTAACTCATGCCTTGTTTGCAGGGTTTTTTCTCCAGGAGTTTCCCTCCCTCGGGAACAGCCTCTGAATGCATTTGACTTTAAAAAACAGAAACCACACACTTAAGAAGCCAGAAGCCTCTTCCTTAGCTGGGTAATAAATAACCAGTGAGGAAGGGAGCACGGGGCAGAAAGAGGGACAAAGACCCTGCCCTCAATCCTGATGTCTCTTGCAATCTTCTTCCTTTTCCCTAGGCTCTGTTTCAGCCCAAACTCCAGATTTAAAACCAGATCAGGGTTCAGCTTCAGGATCACAAGATAGTCTTTCCACCATCCTTTTCCTTACCCTCTTTCCTGCCTACCCACACAAAGCAACAGTGTCCAAATGAGAGCCATGCTGGAGAGGTAAATGCAAAGTGCATTTAAACCTCAGCACAGGCACAATAGCAGGTCCATGGGGTACACCAGACTCACCCACACAAAGATCTAGTTTAAGAAAACAGATGTTACCTTATCTCACAATACCAAATAGCAACTTTAACCAGATACCAGCTGCACCTGCAGCATTACATCTGCTGGCACAGCCCATTTCCTTTCTTCCAGCAGCACGCGGATTCACGACCTGATGAAGCATCCACCGCACTTCTCTGGTGCTCAAAAGCTCCAGCCTGGGCAGCAACCCGCACTAAACATATGCAACTCCCTTCAAAACCCATCAGCATCAGGACTGTGTGTTACATAGACTTGTGACCCGTTTTCCTCACCTCCCTCCCTCCCACACTGCCTGCCTGTTGTCAGCACAGCCACTGCTCCCATCTTGAGCCTCTGCAACAGTGAAGCAACTGTGAGCTGGTCCCAGCTCCAACCTCCCTTTCTGGAGGGCAAAGGAGAGCCTGGGGACAGCCCAGCAGGTGCGGGATGACAGGTCCCTGCCCAGCCCCCTGTCCTAAGAGAGGGCAACGCATCCAGGGCTACCCCACCAGGTGGTTTCACTGCAGGAGACTGCACACTGGATTGAATTTGTTAGAGGAAAAGTGCAGTTCCTTTAACATCTGCATGTTTGCCTGAGTATAGAACTGCGCATGGTCCTGTGTCCAGCTTTGGGGCAACAGCACAAGAGGGACGTGGAGCTGTTGGAGCGAGGCCAGAGGAGGCCATGGAGATGCTGCGAGGGCTGGAGCAGCTCTGCTCTGGAGCCAGGCTGAGAGAGCTGGGCTGGGGCAGCCTGGAGAAGAGAAGGCTCCTGAAGGGGAGACCTGAGAGCAGCTCCAGTGCCTAAAGGGCTGCAGGAAAGCTGGAGAGGGGCCTGGGACAAGGGCCTGTAGGGACAGGCCAAGGGGAATGGCTTTAAGATGCCAGAGGGGAGACTGAGATGAGCTCTTAGGCAGAAGCTCTTTGCTGTGAGGGTGCTGAGGCGCTGGCACAGGGTGCCCAGAGAAGCTGTGGCTGCCCCATCCCTGGCAGTGTTCAAGGGCAGGTTGGACACAGGGGCTTGGAGCAAGCTGCTCTAGTGGAAGGGGTCCCTGCCTGTGGCAGGGGTTGGAACTTGACAAGCTTTAGAGTCCCTTCCAACACAAACCAGTCTGTGGTTCTGATTCTATAAGATCTCTTGTGCCAGCCAGCAGCTCATTGAACAATCTGGCACTGCCTACCTTGTGCGAGTAATGCTGATCCACAATCCTGGCCAGCCCGAAGTCTCCGATCTTCAGCACCAGGTCCTCTGTGCTGATGAAAATATTGGCCGGCTTGAGGTCGCGGTGGAGGACGTTGGCCGAGTGGATGTACTTGAGCCCGCGCAGCAGCTGGTACATGAAGAGCTTGGCATGCTCCTCGGCGAGCTTCCCCTGCTCCAGCAGGCGCGCCAAGTCTGTCTCCATGTACTCCTGGACGATGTACACCATATTGAACTTGAAGAAATCCCCACGCAGGCAGGCACCCTTGGGGCCCAGCACCTCGTACACCTTCACGATGTTGTCGTGGTCCAGGCGGCGGATGATCTTGATCTCGCGGAAGGCGTGCTTCATGCTGCGCGCGTCGCTGATGGTGATCTTCTTCACCGCCACTTTGCGGCAGCTCTTGCTGTCGAGGGCTGACAGCACCAGCCCGTTGGCCCCGAAGCCTAAGGGCCGGAAATTAATGAAGCGACAGCCCAGGTCGTATCCGTACATGCTGGCGATGCAGTCACACTTCTCTGCCATTGCGGGATCCGTCCTCTTGCGGCTCTTTCTCCTTCGCTTGAAAAACTGGGAGAGTCAGAGGGCTTCCAGATCACAAATGTGGTTTGAAATCAAGCGCCTCATTATTACTTACAGATGCTTGGAGGGATCTTGCTCTGAGCCCATTGCTTCAAGATGTCACGCGGACGCAGTGAAAATAGATGCGAGCACACACAGACACAAACAAAATGTTTTAAACTGGGTAGAAGAGACTTTGAAGCAGCAAAACAGAAAGTTTATCTTTCTTGAGACTAAAGAAACCAGCACTGCTACATTTTCCAGCCACTTTCTTGGTTTCCTTCTCTGATGTCCCCAAGATGATGCCAAAGCACAGGGCTGGAGGTGCAGCCAGATGCCTGGCCCCACGTCCCCAGTGTCTCAGTGCTAGAGTGGCCAGGCAGCCCTGCCATGGGGCAGAGCCCAGAGCAGCTCCATGGCCCCTCTGCTGCCCAAAACCCTCCCTTCCCACAAGTTTTGACAGTGTTTTCCCCACCAGTGAAGTGCATCCAGGCACTGGCTGAGGTCCCCAGTGGTCAGCAAAGCTTCACCCTTCTCATCGCTCCCTTTTTGGTATAGGCAGACCTCATCTTCCCCATCAGCTGACAGAAATCTCAATGGAAGCAAATGTTTTGCAGACCAAAACTCACTTTATCAGCTGCAGTCAGCACAGCAGGCTTCCATGTTTGAAGTTCCAACACCTTCCCCTTCTATGTCTTTTGTGGGCGAAGCCAAGTGTCATCAGATCCTTACAGCTTGATGGAATTCCCTGCGCTGCACAGCCTGGTTATCCCTCTGTAGGTCTTAGCCCCACTCCTGGAAGAAAAGAGGACATGGATTCATTTGACACCAGCACTGCCTAGTAATGGCTTGCTGAAGGTGTGAGCAAAACTGTGACCTTTCAGAGACTCATTAGTTATCCCCTCCAGAAGCACACATAATTACCCACATGTTACAGACGGTTAATCCTTCCTTTTCGATTGGTGATTCGCAGAGAACTCTAGCTCTTCCTTTCCCCTTTGCTGTTCAGTTTTCATTTTAATCTGTCTGAAACTGTTATGGAGCGATAGGCACATGCTGCGCAGAGTGCTGTGTCTCTGACTGCCCATTTAAACCTCCTCACAAAGAGAGCAGCAGCCCATGAGGCTACAAACCCTGGGAGCAGAGAGGAGCACAGAGTTTTTCGGCTTATAGCAATCAAAACTGCTGTGCAAAAGCAGCAGTGCCACCCTGTGTGGTTTTGCAAAGAGCCCTAAAGACTGGCTGTGAGGGTGGGATACCCCCTGAACCTGGGTCTGGCAGCAAACCTCAGCAGCAGCCTGGGAATGCCGCTGGCTCCGTGGTTGCGGTCACTGGGAGCTGCCAAGCCCTTCCCTCATGCAGCATACCATTTAGTGCCTTAGAGAGATGCTTGGCATTGCTCAGCCTGGGGTGCATGCACAGCACATAACACAGCTTTTCCCTTCTTGGATGTGCAGGGGGAAGGAGGAGAGCATCCTTGTTAAGACAGATGGAAGAAGGTGTCCCTGCCCGTTGCAGGGGCTGGAACTGGATGAGCTTTAAGGTCTCTTCAACCCAAACAGCCTGGGATTCTGTGATTCTGCTCCCAAACACCCCCTGACACCTCATTTTGCATCACCACATGGAGTCTGGTGTCCTGTGCTGCCCACCAAGGGGACCACCAGGTCCTTCAGAACCTGGGGATACCTGCAGGGACCAGCCAGCTGCATGACAATGGCTCTAACTTTGCATATGGATGTCTCAGATTACCAGCACTGCTCAGAGGGGAGGAAATAAAATTATCATGGATCTGCTCCCATTGTGCTCCTCATGCCAGAGTAATGCCTCTGTTGGAGCCCTTTATCGCCAGAGCTGCTCCATTAACCTGGCCATGAGTTCACAGCACAGTCCTTCACCCTGCACCCCCCAAGCATCAGCACTGCCTGACTCCTGCTCTCTGGCAAAAGTCACTCGTGAAGTAATGATAAGGAAAATATCAAATGCTGAGCTTTGTTTCAATCTGCATCCTTCAATCATTGAAGATTGAAGAGAAATGTAACACTTGAGGCCAGCATGGAGCATGTATTTGAAGAGGGAACTGGCTAACGGTTAAAATAAAAGATGTATGGACCATATGATGGCTGGGAGGGATGTAGGCTGGGCAGGGATACCCTCCAAGGAGCATCTGCCAGCAGTTACCAAATAGTTTGGCAAACACTGCTTGCTCCTGTAGTTAGAAACAAAAATAATTACAGCCTCTCTTCAATCCAGCAATTATCTAATGCTGGCTTTTGCATGCAAAGATTGAACGGAGAAAACTGCTCTTGCTATTACAAGTGGGGCAATGCACGGCCAGAGAAATGCCTTGGTCTATAGTCAGGCAGAGGGAAAAAAATAAGGATGAGAAACAAGGAGTGAAAGGGAGGTAAATAAATTCCAAGGCTCTGCAAGGACAGCAGGAAAGAGGAGCCTGTGCAGGAAGGTTACCTCTGCATTGCAACCCATGTGCATGGCCAAGGAAAGGGAGCACGAGTTGCTTAAACCCCAAGAAGGCAGTGGAGGATTTGAGGACCTCAGGATGACGTAAGGGCAGGCAGCAGCAAGAGGGCTGCAAGAGGTACATCTGGGCAACATTTTCCCCTTGTGGTGACTAGTCTGAGTTTCCTAAGCCTGTGCTGGAAACCTCAGTGTCTGCACAGGTCTCATGGATGTCTGAGGAGGGAAAAACACGAAGGAAAGTAGCAAAATTTCCTACTGGCTCTGGGAACTCTGAGAGGTAGGAGTTGGGCTGACGTGCTTCTACACAGTGCCACATCAGGTCTGAGGTCCACCTCTACGTCTCACCTCTCAGCACCGTCATCAGAACACAAGATGCTTCCCAGCATTTTGGCACTATGAGCCAAATTCCCCAGGGTTGCTGAGACCAGGTAGGGCTGGATGGGAGGTGGTGCTGGCTCCCACACTGAACTTCTTGGCTTAATCTACATGCAATGGAAGGAAACCAAGTTTTGCCTTGTCAGCTTAATTATTAATAATTAGTACAGTTCTAGAAGCACTGAAAGGGAAAATGCAAAGCATGAGACTAAAAGGGAAGAAAGAGCCCCATTTTATCTCATGAGCAAAGTGATGGCCTTCATGGTGCTCCTGGCTACATCTCAGTCCCTGATGAGTGATGACCCTGCAGCATCTCCTGCTATTAGAGGGCCCAGGCAGAATCACCCCTAAAGTGATGGCCCCAGAGGATTCAGGCTGTGTTCCTACCCTTGCTCTCATGGCTGAGTCCCTCTCATTGAACCACCCAGGGAAAAGCTGGTGGTGAATATGGGGATGTGCACCACGGCTGAGAAACCAGCAGGCAACACACTCCCACCGGGGCAGTGCTAACCAAGTGGGAGTTCCAAGATTCACCATCAGCCATCCCAGTATCTTCCTCTTCTCTTCTTCAGTCTCCTTGTCTATTGTAATGAAAAAGTATTATTTCAGTGGCCTAATGAAAATAGCTGCTTAGACCAACAGCGGTCGTAAAACCAGCAGTGATGCTCTCTGGCAACAGATGATGGAAACTGTGGTCTGTTTTCACGGAACTACAAACCAGAGTCCCAAGGGCTTTTCAAGCTGATGGATCCGCTTGAGAAACCAAATTCAATGGGAGCTTCAGGGCAAACTGCAGCAGAAGACAGCCAACAGGTCCTGAAGCACAACAGAGGGTCAGGAGCAAACATTAATGCAATCTGTGGTTACACCAAGATGGCATTTGGGGAAAATAAATCTGAGCTGTTTATACTGGTGAAGTCACCCCAATCTTTTGCTCATGTCGTTGATAGAGGGTTTTGATGGGGTGCTGGAAGACAGTAGAACACAAAGGGACAGTAGTTTTAAGAGATTTGAGTGCTAACTTTACTCCCATCCCATTTCCTACCTCCTATCCATCCTAGTTTAAGGCTAGGAAAGCCTGGGGGAACTTTCAGAAAGCACATACCAAAATTGTTCTCTGTTGGAAAATTCTCCTGTTCTGCAGACCATAAATCCCATCCATTTAATAAATATGAGTGAAATCAAACTCATCATTGAAACATGCAGCATGGACAGAGGGAAGGGTCAGGAGCTCTCATGATGCCCCTGCTCCAATCACCCAGTTCTTCAGTTGCCTGGGCATGGCCAGGAGACCAGGGAGACAGTCGCTTATAAAGAGAACTATACAAGCAAAGAGGTAATAAGACAAATCAATCAAATACAAGCACAAACACAGAATGGGGGACACCAGATGGAGCAGCCTGAGGAGAAGGACTTGGGGTGTTGGGTGAGGAGAAGCTCTCTATGACCCAGCTTCAGTGAGTGCTTGAGTCCAGAACCACCCCCCCCGTGTGCTGGGCTGCACCCCCAGAGCGTGAGCAGCAGCTCAGGGAGGGGATCCTGCCCCTCTGCTGCGCTATGGGGAGATCCCCCCTGCAGTCCTGATCCAGCTCTGGGGCAGCAGCACAAGAGGGACGTGGAGCTGTTGGAGCGAGGCCAGAGGAGGCCATGGAGATGCTGCGAGGGCTGGAGCAGCTCTGCTCTGGAGCCAGGCTGAGAGAGCTGGGCTGGGGCAGCCTGGGGAAGAAGGCTCCTGAAGGGGAGACCTGAGAGCAGCTCCAGTGCCTGAAGGGGCTGCAGGAAAGCTGGAGAGGGGCTTGGGACAAGGGATGTAGGGACAGGCCAAGGGGAATGGCTTGAACCTGCCCGAGGGGAGACTGAGATGAGCTCTTAGGCAGAAGCTCTTCCCTGTGAGGGTGCTGAGGCGCTGGCACAGGGTGCCCAGAGAAGCTGTGGCTGCCCCATCCCTGGCAGCGTTCAAGGCCAGGTTGTGCCAGTTTGTGATTCTATGAAATTCCCAAGAAACACTGGGCATATAAGAATAATGCAGGAAATGTAGGAGACTTGTTCCCTCTTTATGAACACTGAGCAGATTTTACAGTTTCCATTTACCTCTCACTTGCTTTTTTACTGAAGGCAGCTGCAGCCTCTGCACAGATGCAGAGATTTCATAATCAGGACCCCTTATTCCATAAAATAGTAGGATGAGGGAATTAAGAAGTTTTCTTATATTCTTCCATTCTGTCTCTCTCGTTCACCACTCTAGGCAAGGTAAGCATTTCTCCTTGTGTTGCTGCTGGGATCTGCACTCACCTTTCTGCTCCCTTCACTGCTCTGAAGGCAAGGGGAGCTCTGGGTGCCCTCGCATGAGCTCTCCATGCCATCTCCCAGCATTTCCCAGCCCAAGCCCTGCCCACGACGTTGTGATGAGCTTTTCCTTGTCACCAAACCCTCTCCAAGCAGCATCGGTCTCTCTATCTGGATGAATTCATTAAAGCTCAAACTTTGTAACAAGATGTCTGTTAACAGGGCACCGCAGGTGCTAATTAAAGGAGGATAACAATGATCTCTCTCTTAAACACTTCGTAAAGGGATGCATCCTGCAAACGATCACATCTCTATGGCCTTTTCAACTTGGGGAAAGATTAAACATAAAGCAGGAGGGGTGCAGTAGGGGCTGTGTTCATCGTACAGGCTTAGCTCATTGATTCCTGCATTGGGTGGGTCTGGCAGGAGCAGGATGAGATTCATTTTGTGTTCTGTCTCCTCACTCCGGCATCCCTCCCTTCCTCCCCAGCATCAAAAGCCTTTCAAATGCCCTTTCTCTCTGCCTCACTGCTCCTGGTGCCACAGCAGCATCATCCCCGCCAAGCACAGCAAAAGCCATATCTGACCCAGAGGAGCTGAGCAGAGCAGCAGAGACCCCGCTGTGGAGTGTGCAGAGAAACAAGGACAGGGAGTTT